GGGGGGGGGGGGGGGGGGGGGGGGGGGAGATAAAGATTTATAAAAAGAAGCTGAAGTCATTTTGGTAAAATTATATATACAGTTAGGAGGAATACAATGCTAAAATTATTACACAGTAAATTAAAACTTCTTAAAACAGAAACCAGCCTTAAAATTACTACGCGAGTTATTGTTCTTACATCATCATCTTTAGGTGTAAGAGTTCCTTCTTTACTTGGCACTTATTTTAGTTCTTTGATACCGCAAAGTGACCCGAAATATAACCAGGGGCGGTCAAAAACCGCCAGTTTATCTTCACCTCGCTCGAGATTATTATTTAAGCTATAAAGTGAAAATAAAAATTTTAGACTAAAGGCAGAACTTAAAACGTATGGTCTCGTGTTAGAGGTTTAGGGTTATTTTAACTTCAGAGTAACTTAGTAACGTGGTAGTTCCGTGTATATAAGCGTGGGTAAGGTTATTCAAAACGTTAGAGAAAGCCGCGTATAAGAAGAGACGGAAACAGGAAACCGGAAGAAGAGGTTCCGGGCTACGTGCTCTATACTACGAGCTGGTAGTAGAGTGGACGAAGGTGACCTGTTCCAGGTCAATTCACCATCTGGAAGAGAGTATATACATTATACGCGTTATTTTGATATGGTGGGGTGGGGGTCTCGAGAAAAACCACTTTCACGGCTAGGGCGCCGAATAAGAATGCTCTTAAAATACTGAAAGGAAGAAAAACAAGGGTTAGTAAACACAACAGGTTGAACTGGCATTAGTCTTAACATTATAGAATAATCTGGAAGGATGAAAAGTCCAGGATATTCCGGAAAAGGCTTGGTCGTTGTCTCTGGACAATTCCCGTCGGGTTGAACGACGTCTCGGGCAGGTGGGCGTGAGGTGACTAGGGTTGCTTGATCGAACGAGTTATCGTTATGTAAAATCCAGGTTTGTCAATGGTCTACATTGTTCTTCCTTGGATATCCGACATTCAGTAACTGAAGGCTGTCAGAGTGTACTTACCTACATAGGCCAACAAGTTAGTGGTTCGATACTAGGCTTCGTGCTCTGCTAATTCGTGCCGGGCGGTAGAAGGGCTTCTGGAAGAGGCGGAGCGTCGATTTGGTAGATCTATTCTGAAGTGAAAAAAGAAATACAAACATCCGTTTGGTAGTAAAATTTCGGTAGTGGCCCTGAAAGGTGTAGCTATTTTCATTAAGTGAGTTGGTTGTGGATCTGATCCTGTAGACGGCGTGGATTTGGAGTTAGTGGTTGTCTGTAGGGTAGAAAGATTTTCTTCGAGTGCAATAGAGAGATCGACTTCCCCGAGGAAGGTATTAGAACGTAGAGTTTTGTAGTAATAAAATCCCATGGTCTACAGAAGTAGTCACGCTCGTATGGTCTTCATCATCTCTCGTCTAGTCCTCGAAGTAAAAGTTGATGTTTGGTCAAGACTTATATACTACATAATTATTTGCATATCTTTAGCGCCATCTAGACTTTAAATAGTCAGAGTTTATAAAACATATGTCCATATTTCTTCTAAACTTGGACCAACTTCTTTGTTTACCACAATATCTTTGCTTATTTTTTTTCCATCTCTTTTGTTTCTCTAAAATTTAATTCAATTTTAAATCTACCTGATTTATCAGTTTAACATTAATTTTGTCTGTAACTTGTCTGCCACATATTATACTAAAGCCAACATTTACTTTACATTTATCTACTGAATGTTTATGTTCTTTGACTCTAAATTTCAAATTTCTGCAAGTTTGGCCAATGTAAATTTAACCACAGACACGAGGAAATTTGTAAATCCTACAATTATCAATCTCTTCTACTCTACCTTTTATTGGTTTTGAATTTCGCGCAAAACTACACGAGGGCTATCTGCACTAGCCGTCCCTAATTTAGCAGTGAAAGACTAGAGTCATCACCACCCACCGCCAACTCTTGGACTACTCTTTTACCAACGAATAGTGGAATTGACCGTAACATTATAAATGCCCCCACGGCTGAAAGGGCGAGCATGTTTGATTCGAACCCACGACCCTCACATTGCGGGTCGAGCGCCCTAACCACCTGGCCATGCCGAGCCTCTCTCTTTTATACCCCGTGAGAAAGTCATTTAGTTTACAACGTGGAGAGAATGTTACATTTTATATATATATTAATTATGTTGCCTATTCTTGTTGATGACCCTTGAACATATGGCAAACAAAACCCTCATGTTACAAACTTTATTATTTCCCTTTAACTTTGTACATGATATTTTTAATTTATTGTTATGTTTTTGTACAATCTATCAGTAATTTCTGGGTTATAGCCTCTATCTCTAGCTACATGTTTCAAGAAAATGAACTCTGATATTGAATCACAATCGTGGGTGCAGATTTTTAAAGCTCTAAATACTGATGTGGGAAAGGCAGATAACTGTTGTATTCGTGGGTGACACGATCTGTTGTGTTGTGGTACAACCACAGAGAACGGTTTGATATAAACATGAGACGACCTTTATCCCATCATGACCCTATTTCTTCATCTCCACTGTAAATCTAATAGTAGAACTGATCGAATTGAGACGTCTTTCAAACTGAATTAATGTCTCAACGTCATTCACATACCTTAACGACACCAAAAACGTATCATCTACAAACCTTAACGACACCAAAAACGTATCATCTACAAACCTTAACCACACCAAAAACGTGTCATCTACAAACTTAACTACTCCAAAAACGTATCATCTACAAACCTTAACGACACCAAAAACGTATCATCTACATACCTTAACCACACCAAAAACGTGTCATCTACATACCTTAACCACACCAAAAACGTATCATCTACACACCAAAAACGTATCATCTACATACCTTAACTACACCAAAAACGTGTCATCTACATACCTTAACCACACCAAAAACGTATCATCCACACACCAAAAACGTATCATCTACAAACCTTAACTACACCAAAAACGTATCATCTACATACCAAAAACGTATCATCTACATACCAAAAACGTATCATCTACAAACCTTAACCACACCAAAAACGTGTCATCTACAAACCTTAACCTTTAGCTAAACCTTTAATCTGTTTTAAAAAATTAGAGCCTATTTTAAAACATGAGTCAGACATACACACTCTTGGGTCAGATTCACGAGTTCACTAACCTCTGACAGAGAAAATTTATTACTCTCTAATAATCTATTTTCAAGACAGTCGAGGGCTTCTTTAAATGGGACATTTGTGAATATCGAAACAATGTCAATAAATGGGACATTTGTGAATATCGAAACAATGTCAATAAATGGGACATTTGTGAATATCGAAACAATGTCAATAAATGG